TCGACTTGACGACTTGTGCTGTTAGTGTTTGTATACATCGTACTTGACCTTTGCTGATAAATATAATCTCCTCAATAATAAGTATTATATATTTTGATGCTTTAAAATTTACATTTAACTCTTCTGTCAGAATTTATGGTATACGTAGTGTTAGGTATGACAGTATATAAAAGGTCAAGTACGATGTATACAAACATTAACAGCACAAGTCGAAGCGCCTTCGCTCGAAACGTCGAAGTTCTCCTTGTATTTTTCAGGTAGTTGTATCCCTATCAATCCGAAGCTTTCGCACATATTCCCTCCAGAATTTCTAGTTGTTTTCAATCGATTTCAGTGTAAAAAAGTAGCAAATTTTCGACGAGAAATTCCAAATACTTTGTTTATATTTTCCAACAATTGCCAAGCATGCATAGAACTCACGTTGGAAATCCAACGTACTGTCTGCCGTTAGCCAATCACAGGCCTGAATCAATTCGATTTCTCCAGAGCTATGCCCACCCTTAACCTGCGAACGGGCATGCTCGCGGAACGAGATTGTATATATATATATATATATATATATATATATATATATATATATATATATATATATATATATATATATATATATATATATATATATATATATGAAAAGGTTAAAAAGGAATTTCTTCAGGCATAAAATTGGACGTTTCGCCGGTCAAGGCTTCATCAGTGGAATATTACTTATTACAATATACGTCTATTATATACAAGCTAGTCTATTAAAAATTCATGAATAAAATAAAAAATTATAAAATCTATTGAAATGTCAATTAGCTACGAGTCCGGTCAAGCAGTGTTTGATTAAGGTGCCTCGATACAGTTTTCAAAAATTCAGGTGTTCAACACTTTGACATGTTCAAACTACGCATTTTTAGGATTTATTCAGCAGATATTGGGTTTTTTATATATTTTGATAACTCTACTTTCAAATTATATTAGTTTTAGTAACAGATAGTTCGTTGCTATGACGACATACGTGTACGAAATTCACTCCAAAATGGCCTTTCGTCTCGTATAGTTGGAAAAGAAGCATGGTGACCCCCAATTTTTTTTCTTGCATTATTGTACTTGGACGAAAAGCTAACATTTAGCAAAATATAAAAAAATTCTGTAATGCCATTTTTTTGGAAAATGCGAAAATGTCATATTCTTCGGTAAAAATTTTTTGACATTACAGAATTTTTTAATTTTTTGTATAATGAAAGTTTTTAGCGGTGCAATACAGCATGCAAAATTTGAACATAGATCACCAGACAAAATAAAGAGATATAGCGCATTGTTTTTCTAAAATGGAAAATTCTAATGACGTCAGCAAATTGGCATAAAACGCTATAGAACACGCGCAATGACGTGATATGGCGCGAACAACTGCTCACGTCAGGTCATTTTGGAAGTTCTTTCATTTTGTTAATCAGTTTCCGCGACCTGCGCGTAAAAATGGTCACCCGGTTTTGAGTTCGCGATTCTCGAACAGGGTTCTTGTGATAACTATATCGAGCCACTTTAACTATCAAGCAAATGCCTTTGCCTGTGTAGCTTGAAATAAATAGCTTCCCGCATCTGTGGCGGCCAAATTGGTGCGACCTCATTAGTTATTCACCAGTAATTTTAAGACGAAAGAGAGGCCACTGACGAGAGTGACGACCAATTTAGAAAATACGTGTCCTTTCCCAAAAATAACGGGAAACTGTTAGAACCTTTTCTACCAACTTAGCAACATCACGGTAGATTTATATGGTGGTCACACCAATATCACAGAGTACTTACGTACAGATATCTCACTTGGAAAACCGTAAGGTAGTTTTTACCAAAATAGCTGGCTGCCATGTTCTTTGCAAGTGCCGTAAAGAGAGGCATTCACCCCCCTGGAACATTAAATTTCAATATGTTTTCAGGAGGGACGGCCTCTCTTTAATTAGGGCACTTGCTAAGTTAACGCGAACTTAACAAAAGCTTACGCTATATTAACCTAAAGTGCGAATTCTGTATGTAAGTACTCTGTGTCAATACGGCTGCCATTGGCTTCATTTACGCACAACAAATCCACCATCCAGTCCTAGTTTTTAGATCAGTGGTTGGCATAGAGAGTTTGATGTGACGTCACGGCTGCCATGTTGGAGGCTGCATCACAAGTACCGACCAGAGAGTACCGACATTCAACAGAGCGAATAATCAATGCATTTCATTTGTTTAACGGCATTTACCCTAGTCAGGGAATATATGAAACCATAGTAACGACAGGGAAGAAGAGAATGGCCGAATATGTCTGATTGTGTGATAATAGATTATTATTTTCTCTGTGTTGGAAAAACGCAGGAGATGTGTATACAGCTAATTCAGTTAAGGCTGTCCTCTCGCAGCCCTCTCAAAATCAAAAATCACAACCGCACAGTGGCGTCTTTGTACTTACGAGGACTGGTTATATTAATTGGGTAAATATCTAATATTTATGTTAATCAAGTGAATTCAAAAGCTGTATCTGTCTGGCACCAACTTGTGATTTGCAGTAATAAAACAAGTTCACTTGTTCCTCCTATTAAACATTGTGAAACTTTATATCCTGCCGGATATGATCGAATAAGCGAAAAGGCATTTCACTTCAGCTTTTATTTAAAATGCTTGTGAGGTTTCTAATACTCCTTGTATTTGTAGTTGGCATGGTTTATGCCGAGCCATATAACTGCAAAGGTAATTATATTCAATCAGATTACATTGGTAAACTTCGAGTTCCAATCAATTGCGATCTTACGCGTACAGACTGTCCGTCTTCTTGGAAGTCTGGAATTCCTGAAGGCAGCGAAACATCTGCGCCAATGATTGACCAGAAATTTTTGAACTGTCAAGAAGGTTTTACTTTGTGTGGATATGTCTCGATCGATCCAAAATCCGGTGCCGTCCTTGGGCAAAGAGGCGTTACGATTGGCGCTGGTGTTGATCTTGGAAGCAAGTCGAGGGCATCTTTCACGTCATTGTCAAGCACATTGGTTGACAAACTTGAACCTTACTTTGGTTTGAAACGAAATCTCGCTGCCTGTGCTGCGATTGAACGTCCCTTGAGACTAACGCTAGCGGAGGCAAACAATTTAACACGTACAGTTACAAACGATGTCGTTACTGAAGTTTCAAAAAGATACAACAGTGATAAAGATGACAATGCGTTGGCATTTGCATCAGTTCCTCGCGGAATTCGCACTGCCATCGTCAGCCTTTGGTATCAGTTTGGTAATCCTACGGCTTATCCAAGGTTTTGGAGATTTGTGACGAAAAACAATTGGGACAATGCAATAAAAGAATTGAGAAATTTCTACACGAATCCGAACGAGCAGGCTAGAGGAGACTTGATTAGACGAAACAACGAAGCGGACATAATTGAAGCAACTCTTGTTAGATGCAACCGCTCTGTTGACGTTGTTTTCTTGATAGATGAATCTGGAAGTGTTTCCCTCGGAGACTTTAATGACAGCCTCGATTTTGTAAAGAACATGATAAAAGCATTTCCAGATGATAAACTCAGTGGGGAAAATGGCACTAGATTCGGTTTGTCCACATTCAGTACTCTCTATAAATCACATTTCTATCTATCAGACAACACAGATCAGTCAGAGTACCTTTCTGCAGTCAGTCAAGTGTCGTACACCCATGGATCTACCTATCTTGGTGATGCTCTAGAACACGTCTTAACCGATCAATT